GCCCGCGCCCGGTGCTGCCTGCGGGGCCGCCCGGCTGCTGAGGCCCCCTCCTCCCGCCGAGCTCCTGGCGCTCCGGGTGGCCCCGTCCCCGCCGAGCGCAGGCGGGTCGCGGCGCTCAGGCTCGCGGGCGAGGAGCAGGAGCAGGAGCAGGAGCAGGAAGGGCGCAGCCGGGAGCAGAGCCCCTGGAGCTGCAGACCGGACGTGGGCCAAGGCTGTGCTTGATGTGCGGGGCCCGGCGAGCGCGGGGACGTGGCTGGAAAGGGGCCCTGTGGGCACCTGCCCCCGGCCGGGCCGAGGTGCCGGGCAGCAGCCCCGGGAAGCAGCGGCGCCGCTCCAGGAGCCGCTCCAGGAGCCGCCTGCCCTGCGGTGCCGGTGTCGCGTGTTGATAAGAAAGGAAAAGCCGCCTGGCTTTTGCAGTTCTTTATCATATGCAAATATAGGTCCAAGGCATGCTAACGCGTGGATGGATACATTGCAATGTATAGACTTGCTTCTGAATTAATAGCACGTTTGGAAGCAAAACAAGAAGAGGAAACTGCAGAGTAGGTCCCGCCGAGAAAGGGGTGATGCAGGAGCAGCAAATGTGGAATTGCAGAACCGGAGAGCTGAGTGCAGCCTGGTGAGCTGCAGCTTCCAGGGCATCCTCCCGGCGCGGTCCTGCTGGGATCTGGGGCAAGGAGGAGTCTGCAGGCCAGGCTGTGGCCAGAAGGATGGGGGGGCCTCTGCTTGAGCCTGCGGCCGCGCTCTGCAGGAGGCAGCGCAGATCCCTTGTGCTGCAGTCCCCCCATTTCTTACCTCCCGCCTTCCCGCTTCCCCTTCCTCGGTGCCTGCTTTTTTTCTAGGCAATTAGAAGACACTCTTTCTTTGAAATGCCACAGGGTTATCTGATGTGGGACTCTGAACTTTTGCCTTTTGCCCTGTTGGGAAGGGAGTRGGGCACAGTCTGTGAGAAGCCGTTTACAGCACTCTGGTAGCTGCAGGCTGGGTCACAAGGAGAACAAAAATCCAAGAGCTCTGGATCCCTCTTCTATTACTGTTTCTATTGTGAAACACTGACCTAGAGCCAAAGAAGAGCTGCCTGCAGAAAGCTTGTGGGGATATGCAGGGAGTCTGCTCTGCCTGGCCAAAGGGTGAGGAAGAGTTTTGACAAGCTCGCTATCCCTTGGAATCTGCAAGGATCCTGCTTGCCTCTTGCACATGGTGCCACGCTGGGATTAGCCTCGCAAGTACCCTGTGGGGCAGTCCCATGGTGCTGTCTGTTAATCAGCGCTGTGGTGAAGTGCTGCACGTTGGCTCTAAGGCCAGGTTGTGGTCCTGCTCGCAGGAAGGAAACTTGGTGTCTTGCCAGCCCCATGACAGGGCTGCCGCTGGGCAGGGCTTGGGTTTGGTCCTGCGCCCTTTGGAGGTTCCTTTGGGGCGCTGCTGCTCCTGGGCATTCCTGACAGCTGGGTGCCAAGGGCGCCTCCGGGCAGCTGTTGAAAGTGGCTCCTCTCTTGCCACGGGGCCGGGGCCATCCCCGAGAGGAGGGCGCTGCGCGGGTGGCCGAGGCCACGGCGTGTGACGGCTGCGGCGTGGGGCAACCGAGGCCATGGCGTGGGGCGGCCGCGGTGTGGGGCAGCCGCGGTGTGGGGTGGCCACGGTGTGGGGCTGCTGCGCGGCCGCCGGGGGCACTTCCAGCCCGCTGAATCACAGGAGTCACTGCCTGGCRTTGCCATAGAAATGGGAACTGTTGCTAGGGATGGGGAGCTGGTTGTCACTTGGCTTTGCTGCTGCGTGGTTCCAGCGTGAGCTCATGGGGAAGGGGAGCCTGAGTTCTCGTTCCYCATCCCTCTGGGAACAGAGGAGGTCAAGCAGCTCCCCCAGGCCCCGTGGGACYGCATCTTAGCTTTGCCTGCTGCCCTTACTGCCGGCCTCTGTGTGTTTCTGAACTGCCTTGGTCTTCTGCTGCCCTTATATGTCTTGCTCTTTCCTATTTTGGGATTTCGTTTCATTTGTTTCGCAATACTTCCAGGCATTTGGGAGCCACAAGGAAGTAGAAACTGGTTGTAAACTGGTGAGTAGGAGCTAAGGGGTGGCAGGACACAGGACACCTTAAAGAGATCTCTGAGGTGGGGGACAAACCCTGAATATCTAGTTTCCTGATTTCACAACGTTTACCAAAGCTTAGTGCTGTCCTGAGCTTGGGACTGACACCTTCTCGTGCTCAGTTTCTCTGAGTTTTAATTCTCTGTGCTCTTGTCTGTGTAACTGTTTCATCATGATCTGCTGGCACACATTCCTGCTCCAGGGATGGAGGGGTCAAAATGTTAGTGCCCCCCTCCATTCTGCCCCAGGAAATAACTCTGTTACGAGGACAGCCTTTCCACAGAAAGGCGTTATGAGGCTCCTTAGATCACCTGCAAAGCAAGCCCAAGCCTGCCCAAGCAGCAACGCTGTGGAGCATCTTGCTGATGCAGAGTGTCACTGCTTGTTTTGTGGCCGTTCCCCTTGGCTTGCTGCCTCCTGGCTGCTGAAGTACTGTCCGTTGGGCTGCGTGAGCCCTCTAGCCCTGCGTGTTTTTCCCGTTGTGCCTTTCCGTGCTCACACCCCAGACAGTGACGTTAGGTGGYGGCGGCTCTTTCCGAGGGACTTCCCTGAGCGTCGGGGTCCTTGGGAGGAAAGCTGTGCTCGCTCGCTCTGGGTTTGGCGGCCGCACCGCTCCGAGCGAGGCCAGGAAATGTTTGCAAACAGCAGCAAACACCACGAGCTCTCTGTTGTCTTCCCCGACTCTCCTAAGTCCTTGCTCTCCTCAGCAGTTTGGCTCGGTGGAAAGTGCTTGTTGTAGCAATATAGCTTTAATATGASGGACGATTCCTGTGCTTGCTGCTTMCTTACCGTTGTGCAGAGGAGAGGAATTGCTGGGTGCTGCAGAAAGCAGATCCGGGGCGTGTGTATCGTTCGCCCTGTCTCACTGGCTCAGCCTCYGAAGGCTGGTTTGAAGCTGCTCCGAGTTCCTCACTACTCTGTTCCCGGCAGAGGGAAGCGCCTGCTCTGCTGGGAGCTCCGGCCCTCTCCGGGGTGGGCAGGGGGATCCCGGGCRCTGGGGAAGGAGCTGGGCTCTGTGGCAGGGGCTGTAGCTGCTGCAGCGAGTGCGTCAGGCCGGGGCTGGAGCCGCCCGTCACGCCGCTCTGCGTCGCGCCGCTGCTGCCGTGTGGGGGGAGAGGCTGATGTGGCCGCAGCTGTGCTCGAGCAGGGGCTCGCAGAGGGGTGCTGCCGGCRCCCCTTGCAGCCTCCAGGAGGGAATGTGACCTGTGTCGGTGCTGCTGGCTTTGGAGGAGGGGGAATTGGTGCCATTCTGCCTTGAGCGCAGTCGGAACGGTGAGAGATGTGTCAGAGAAATCAATGAAGAGAAGAAGAGCTTCAGAGAGGCAAGCAGCGTGATCTCAGTGTCTGACCCAGCAATCTCTGCAGTTTTCCTTCTAGACACTGCAAAACGGACTGCAGTATTTGGGGACTATGGCTACAGACCCACTGTCAGAGCTTCAGGATGACCTGAATTTGGATGATACCAACCAGTCCCTCAACCAGCTCAAATTGGCCTCCATAGATGATAAGGACTGGCCAGCGGATGAAGTCCCTGCTTTTCCCAAATCAGGTGAGTATTCCTGCTTGCTCGTGGTCTGGGCTTAGGCCAAAAAGAATTCATTTGTTCTGCAACACCGTGGCCATATCTACGTGTACAGAAAGTCCCAGCTCCRTATGGAAGTTTGCTCATACCACAGCCGAGTGAGTTAGCCCTGCCAAGCTGAAAGAGCTAAGTGTAAAAAATCAAGGCTAGCTGATATTAATATAGTCCTGTCAGTGCAGGGCTGGCTACACATTGATGCTGACAGTACAGACATGCTGCAAGTCCTTGAGTACCCTCTGGTCTCTTGCAAGATAGCTTGGCCTTCCTTGTTGGAAAGGTCTTGAACTTCCACGTGAGAGATGAGACTGCTTAGTTTTTGTGAAATCCTGTGGGAATCCAACTAAACACTGTTCTGTGGACTGTGTTTTCCAAAAAAATCAGCAGCGTTAGCCTCAAGGTGTTGGACAGACATCTGTGCAGGGAGGGTGTTGAGGTCCTGCTGCTCTCAGCAGCCACGATGGTGCCCTTGGCCCTGAGACTTTTGGAGGCCGCTTTCCAGAGCGGGCAGATCCATACCTGAGTTCCCCCATGTTGYGGAACCATTTGCTCCCAGTCCCCCCTGTTGCTGTGCCCCTCGCCAAGGTGGCAGGGCACCCTAGATCCCTGCTGCTAACTGTTTATTCCTTGTGTTTTGTGCAGAGGACTCCAAAGCCTCCCCTGAGCCTGTCACCCATCTGCGGTGGGATGATCCCTACTATGATATCGCCAGGCACCACATCGTGGAAGTAGCAGGTTGGGCTCTTTTCTGTCTGTTTCCTCTCCAGATATTTTTTGCAGCTGGGATGAGGAAGGGCCTTTTCATTGGGGCTGTGGAGGCATCTGCTGTATGCCAGGCCAAGGTGGCAAGGGCAGCTGGCATTATAAGGATAAGGAACACCAAACATCTAGAATATTGTAATTAAGTTTAATTTTCCRTTGACCTTGTTTCAACTTACATTCTTTCTTGGGTCTTGCTGTCTTGATTATATTACTAGTGGCGTTCAGTTGCTTCAGCAGAAATGTTTTAGATGTATCCTCAGTGGAAGATGTGGGTTCTGCATGATAATGCTACAGAAACTGCCTGGTTACACGGTGTCATTGCAAGCTCCTCAGCTRACTGAGTAATCCACAGTAGGCTTGGCAGCTCCTACACCTGACTGACCAGAGCTTGCCATCCTGSCCCTGCACAAAACAGCAGCTTTCAGAAGTCTGGGATGTGGGGAATATGCACAAGGCCACTGCAAGGAAGGTCCTCATGTTCTGTGATGGGTCACAACTGTGATGACTTCTTCCTTGTGGCTGTCTTGTAAATATTATTTTAATTATACTAACCTTTGGCAAGGTGCTGCCAGGAGCTGCTTAAGAAAGACTTTAGGGAGTAGTTTTGAGTTGCTGTGATAAGGCTGAGAGAAGATAATTTCAATTTGTTCTGCACTGCCTGCTACAAAAAGCCTCTTTAACCTGTTGTGACTTGATTCACATTTCCTTCTTGATTATCTCTTCCCCTTCCTTCTGCCTTTCTTTTATGTACCCTGCTCCCTGCCCAACACATTAAATTCAAGAGAAGCAGAGTTGTAAGTTGGAGTCCTTTTGATCAGAGGTTGTTCTCCAGTAGGGTTTGATTGGAGAGGGAAGATTTTCAGGCAGTTACCTTGGTAAGAGTTGTCCTCTCTGCATTGTTCTTTCCTTGGTTGCCATCTAGAACCAAGTTTCTTTCTCTCGACCTCTGGTATTACGTTGTTTAGGAACACAAACTGATACCAGTGAATTCAAAACTTCATTCTTTGTCTCTCTGTGCTGCTCAGGGTGGCAGGTGAATTTTCAGCCTCTCGGCTGCTCTGCCTTTTTAAATTCTCTTTTTAGTGCTTTGATTCACAAATGTACTGGTCACCTGGAGCTTTCAGGAACCCCGGTCCCAGGACTGAGTTTGCTATGGCTCTGCGCCTTGTTCTCCCTACTCCTGGAACTGGGATGGCACAGATGTGTGGATCCTGCTGTGCCAGTGATAACTAGAATATTTGGAATGCAAATGGCAGAGGTAGCGGCTGTTTCTGAACTCTGGAGGCTGGTGAGTTAAATGATACTTCTGTTGACTTCAGACAAGACCTAAGCACTTAGCAGAGAGCTTAGATGAGAGCCGTTGATAAGACTGGAATGTCGCCTGACACTCCAGGCAAGGATACACTTTGTGCGCTGGCTCCTGATGTAAACACCAGCCTTCCTGGGGTACTTCTATTGCCAAGGAACCCAAAGCTTTTTTGCAAGCTCTGAGCAGAGTGTCCCTGAGACAGGGCTACCATTGCTGCCAGAAAGCAGCAGTTTGACACAGGCGTCTAGGGGAGCAAGGGAAGTGATCCCTACCTTCCTGGAAGGATTCTGGAGAGTGTGATGGCCAACTGGCAGGTATGGCCGTGTTATGAGAGAAATTTCTTCCCCATCATGGTTTAAATTAGTGGGTTTGGCAAGTTCTTCATYCTTTTCATGTGTCTCTTTATAAAGTAAAAGCCTTTCCTAGAAGCATCTGCTGTTGGCTGCTGCTGTCTGTTTTTCACTGGTTTGTGTAAAAGCTTATGGGTGTCTTCCCCCAGAAGGTGGTGCAACGTCTTTCTAGGGCAAGGAATGCCTAGTAACACAGCTCCAGATGGTGGATTTGCTTACACAGAGTTTTGAGACTCACTGGAGTCTCATCTCCTGGAAGCAGGATTTGTAAAGGTGATTAAAGGGGCCTGAATCATAATTTGGGCTCTGAGTTGAAGCTGTTGGTTCGGTTTTCCTGGACAATAATAATGTTAACTGTTCAGAGAATCAGACAGAGTGACATTTTCTGGGCTGTGGTAGGAGGCAAATAATCAGCAAAAATCTGGAAAAATCCTATTAGAAGTAGCCTGGGTGATTAAAAGGGAACTGTTTGGACCTGGCCCTGCTGCCAAGTTCTGCTTTAGGGGCAACGAAAGCAGAGGGGAAAGGAGGGCCCCGCGCTGCCGCCCCTGCGTGTGGCAGCAAAGAGCCCGGGGCAGAGCACAGCTTTATCCGTTCTGCTGTGCAGCAGCTTGCACTGCTGGGTCCTGCCCTGCGCTTCAGGGCAGGGAGCATATGGCTACTTCTGTTTTTTGTCTTCCCTGAAATATATTCTGGGATGCTGATGCTATTTTGGGACAGAAGCAGAGGGCCGGTTCCCACCCTYGGGCTGAGCTCCATGAGTCTGGAGCTATATCACGCTGTCAGGATAGGGATTGTTTCTTGAGGGCCGGGTGCACGGTGCTAACAGACAATAGCTAATTAAAAACCCAATTATCACTGCAAAAAGTTCACACACACACACATTTTCTAACTGATTCAGCGCAAGACATTGATTTGAATATCCTGGCTATGTGACCCACAGAGGAAGAGAATTATTCAAAAACATGTTGCAGAATTCTCCAGAAAATGGATTTCTTGTTTTGCTTTCCACTTCAAAATAGTGCAGTGGCCTCGTGGGAACTCTCCTTTGCCCCCTGTGCCCCAGTCTCGTGTGGGGGCTGGATCTGCACAGCATGTGCTGACCGTGGTGCCCTGCTTTGTGTCCCCTGGTCCCTCGGCATTGGGGTGGGGGCGAGGTGGGRACATGAGTGCCCCAGACTCTCCTTCCCCCAAGCCCACCCCGGATCACTGTTCCAAGAATATTTTAGTGTGGGATGCTGCCTTTAGGTTCAGTGTGCTTCCAGAAATGCATATGTTAATCTTTGTCTGAACTTTCTGACTTGCGTTAAGGTGTCTRGTTCTGGGTTGTTTTGTGTTGGCTCTGGAGAGGTTTCTGCCCGAGTGCTGTCCTGGACTCCAAGTTCCTCCTCTTGTGGACATTGTAGCAGGCAAGTCTGTCTTTACGCGTGGCTGGAAGCTGGAGTACAGGAGGCTGGATTTCACTGCACACTCCACTTGTGCAGAGTGGATTTTTTGGCTTTTTAACTTGCTCACGTCACGTAGCATTTAGAGGAAGCCCAGGTTTGTGGCTGAAGTCTATGAGGATCTACCCCAAACTTCTTTAGGTGTGTTTCTGTACCCTGCTGCTATTTTTCRTATGGCAGAGGTGCTACTTGTATCTTCTTGGGGGCTGAGTGGAGAGCCGGCAGTSTCCAGTTACTGATTTCACTCCAGCAATTTTGATGGTGACTCTCCTCTTTGGTGGCTAGTGCCAAACTCGCTTTAAAAAGCACAGCAGCTGCCTGTTGTTGATGCCATCCCATACAGGGTGCTGGTGACAGCCCTGTGACTAACGCTGGTGACTGCTCTTKCTGCTCATCACTGACATGGGAAGATAAATCAATACAGCAGCGCTGGTAGCTGCTCTCTCACGAAAGGAGTAAAGGCTAAAAAAAGCTGCAGGCAAAACTTCCACTGGAAGTATGTGTGGTATTTTTGGTGAGAATTTTGTTCCCTGAACAGTATTCCTCCCGGTATGGGACGTTACTATTTCCTCCATTAAAAGATGTATGAATTTCTGCTGCGTTTGGGTGTAATTTCTGGCTTTGGTGAAAATTTATTAATTATTTAATTGGCATGGTAAGGTTTGAGTTGCTGCTGGTGCCCTCCCAAAAGAAGTCCAGCTTGTGCCCCATTTTTTGGCATGTGTGATCAAGAGAACCAAGAGTTTTTAAAATAGCCCTGCTCTAAACAGCCCCCTGTCGTAGTCGACATGTGCAGGACTGTTGAGCACAGATGCAAAAGTGTTTGGGGATGGCAGTAAATGTCCTCATAGACTCCTCTTTGCCCAGAGATTTTTTTTTTTTTTTTTTTTTTGTGAAGATTCCATTAAAAAGATTTTTAGGAAGCCACAGACAATTTGGAATCTAAATTGTCCTCATCTTCTACTTATTTGTGAAATTTAGCTTCTTGCAAAGCACTCTTTGGAATATATTATTCATGCAGTACGATGCCATCCCCTGTACACTTCTGAGGTTGTTCAAGGACCCTTGACATTGGAAATTAGGTGTCTTGACCCTATTGAAGGGGGTGGTACCGCAGCTGCTGTTTTGCGTGTGTGAGAAGCATGACAGCAAGGTCAGAAGCTTGGCYGTGATTACGCAGCACGGGGTGCAAATTCAAGAAAGATTCAGGAGTTGTGAGTTGCTCTTATCACCTCTATTTGTCAAATTGTTGCTTCAGAACAATTTGAGGAAAAGAAGAAGTTGAGCGAGTTGATTGCTGAGAGCGAGTGAATACATCCCAATGATCTCTTGGGAAAGGATGTGAAACTTGGCTTGCTTTAACTCTGTTTCTGTTCCTCCAGACCAGGGTGCACTTGATGGGGCCCAACCAGGTAGGTAGATTTTTTTTGTGGCACTAACATTTGATGCTGTAGATCATGATATTCCTTTAGCATGACCGTGGCCTGCAGCTGGGTTATCTCAGGGGAGCCCAAACTTTGCTCAGCCTTGGGCTGCGCTGGCAACTTTTCAGGAGTCCAAAGGCTGCACATAGTTGCCATCTCTGAGGGCTGCGCTTCTGCCTCAGGGGCAGCAGAATCATCTGAGCCAAATTTGGCCTGTGGGCTTTACTTGGGGCACTTTGGGGCTCTTGGGTCTCCATGTAAATTCTGCTCCTCCTCTGCCATGGTGGTGGCCTCTTTGGACCAGTTCAGTTTGAATACAGAATGGTAAATCCTTCTCACCCTGTGTGCTTCGGAAGTTCATCCTAGGATTGCTTCCTGTTCCTTCATATGATCTGCTGCTGTCCCTTGCTGCGCAGTGGCACTTACACTGGATTCTTGATCATGAAAGCAGCTGTTACCAACTTCTCCATGCGGCTGTAGAAGAGATGGTGCCTTCTGGCAGCTTGTTCCTCGTTGCAGCCTGAAGCTGTGCTAGGCTGCTCTGGGCTTCCTGAGCATTCAATAAYGTTCTCTGGACTTCAGTGCCAGGCCTTAAGAACGTGGCTCTCGGTGCGTTCTCACCTACCAGCGCAGCTGTGGCTGCCTCCTGGTGTGCAGCTCTTTCTGCTGCTCCTCAGCAGCAGGCCAGCCTGCAGGCACAGCCCGTGGAAAAGGCGATTCTCCCACCTCGTTTCTTGGTGGTTCTCTCAGTTCTGCCATGCTCTCAGGTATCCTCCCATTTTGCCTTCCGTCAGGTGATTTTTTTTATCAAGTTAAAACTGTAATCACCAGTAAGATGTTAAGGGGTTGTGATGATTATCCTTCTTCCTGGAATCATTGATTGGATGGGAGTGCATAGACTCCTTTTTACAGTAAACAGTTTTACATACTTTTTACAGTAAACTCCTTACTCTATACTTTTTACAGTAAATTGTAAAAAAAAAAAGATTTTTTTATCAAGTTAAAACTGTAATCACCAGTAAGACTTTGTTAAAGGGTTGTGATGATTATCCTTGTTCCTGGAATCATTGATTGGATGATTGCAGTGCATAGACTCCTACCTTAGCTTTGCCCTGCCTCTTGCCCGTTTCCTCAGCCATCTGCAATGGGGAGAACCGCTGATATCCATGAGCTGAGCAGAGCTGCAATCTCTTGAGAAGACTTTATAATTCTGGCAGTGTTTGGTTACTGGGAATATCTAACTGGAAGATGTCTTGTGCTGGAGCACTTTGACTTTGAGCTCATAGCCTGTATGACCTCCTTTTTCCTGAGATGCTAAATCCACTTTGGAATTCAASAGAGAACCAAAATCTACCAACCACATGTAAACAGTGCTCAGCTGTGTCATAAGTTTGGCAAGAAGCTGAAATTACATTAGAGAAGATTTTACTGGCAGTGGCTCTGATAAACATCCTAAGCTCTTTAAATCTTGCAGAGAGGCGTTCCAGAACTCCCTCGCGTGTCCTCTCCTTGTCCCTGGACTCTGTTACTTTGCTGGTTAACCCGTAACATGAGCTTTTGGTAGCAGATTTTATCTGTCTCCATTCTCTCAGTATCAAATGACCAGGATATTCCCATCTAAATATTTTATCAAAGTGGGATCCCTGGGTGGTGATGCCTAGCAAAAGTAGGTATGAAAGGGCTCCTCCAGACTGCAGTTTTGCTGCCAGCCAAATCATATAGTAGCTTCAAGTCATGGCGTAAGGGCTGGGTGATATTTCTTCAGGAGAAACACCTGGAAATACATTGCAGAATTTGCAAATTGAGGAAATATTTTACCTGTAAGCCTTGCAGATTTATATAGTACAATATTAGCTGTCCTCTTGCTCATGGTTGTTAAACGACTTCTGGATTCCAACCTATAGGGATGCAGTTGTACTTCAGTGTAATCGAAAGCCTTTCTCTTATATATGGACATATTCACAAGGGTGTGTATATTGTTGGGATGCTTTGGGAATATGGGCGATATGGAATTGCTTTTTTGCTGGCTTATTGTTAGCTGTGGTTGAGTGTTTCTTTTCTGGGAGAGATAGGAGACAGCCTGAGGAGCTGAGTAATTGGTACATGGTCTGTAGTTGTGTTCAGTGGAAACTTTAATTGCTTGGAATTGCAAACAAGGGGTGAAAATGTAGATACGTGAGATTAATATTGCAAACAGGAGAGCAAACAGTGCAAGGGATGGAGCGTCTGGGAAAGATCAAGAGCGATAAGAGTCTGTTCCGTCTGAGGCAGAGAGGCCACCTGGAGGCAGCTTCCTCAGACGGCCAAGAATGTGTGGAATGGGTTTTAAGTTCTTGTTTATAGATTGGAGCAACGGATTGTTCAAACCTGATGCTCGAGAGCTGAATTTTGTCTTGTCTGGAGGAAGCAGGCAATCCGACACGTTGGGTGGATGCAGCATTGGCAGCTGCGGTTTTGAATGTTTCTGTGCTGGCAGGCTGGACTCGGTGTGATGAAACCGGAGTGAAACCCAGCACTTGGTAAGCACCTTGCTGCTTCCTGGGTGATTTTCATACATAAATTCATGCTGGTTTGGAAGGYAAAATGAGCCACTCCTTTTTCAGTGATCCAAGGGGCTATAGGTTATCTTTTAGTGTACTTGGCCCTGGACATTATCCAGAGGAAACCTGCTGTCTCCCCTTCAGATGAGTCACATATTCTTTCTTTATCAACCACCTTTTCAGCCACGTGAGGAAGGAGGTTCTGCTTGGTCCCTTCCATAGGCTTTCATGGCATTCCAGAGGAAGGTGTTTGAGCTGTTTGGTTCACGTCTTCTACCTTGTCAGGCTTGGAAATCRGTGCCCAGGAGCCTGAGCGGAGTGTGCAGCAACCCACGACATTTCCTGAGCAAAGTGCTGGGCTGCAGTTCTTCATGCCAAGGCCTGCCTTGATCAACCTTGAGATCTGCTTCTGACCCTCAGACCTTCTGGTTTTGACATGAAATTTCACCTCTCACTGAACTGAAGACAGCACATATTCTGACTTTAGAAAGGAGCTGTAATTTGCAGAGGTCTGTAGTCTTTCTGACTATTCTCTTTCACAGATCCTTATTACTCCAAAACTTGCGAGATTCCCAAATGCTGCCATCTTCTTGGTGCCCTGTGAAGGCAGGATCCTTTTTCCAGATGGAAACAGAAGATTTATTAGAGACTTGTCTTTGCTTGGAAGAGCCATGAGGTGCCCCATCCTTTGGCTTAGGACTTTGAAGCCCGCTCCTTTGTTCYACAGACAGTTTATGTGCATTAGACCCAGCCCTGCAGTTGAGAGCAAGCCACCAAGAACGTGTGGGCTAGGCAGAGAGTGGGCTACCGTGGGATATGCAATGTGATGATGGTCCTGTGGCCTGGCTGTTACTGTAGCTGGTTGTTCCAGATGATTCTTGCATCGTTCTCTCTCAGTCCTGCATTCTGGGTCATGTGTCCTCCCTAATTGCCCCATACCTGTGCATGTGTATGTCACCGTGATGGCCTATGCGACCCTTCCTAGTCTGTTCCTAGCGCTGCCTCAGTGTCCCTAACTTTTGTAGAGGTTCTGGCTTATGTGTACGAGTAAATGTATTGTCTGATGAATGGATGGAAAGGGGACTCGCAAGAAAAAAAGCAAGTGAATATGCAAGTGAACAAGCAGAGAATCTGTTCTTCAGGCCAGAAKGGGGGTMAAGGGGGGGACTGGCGGCCTCTTGGTGCTGCAGCCGCAAGTGGTCGTGTGTCGCGGACAGCCAACGTTCCTGCAGACTTCACGTTTGCTACTCCGTGGTTTCATCTGAGACCTCAGTTGCTGCAAGGCAGGTCTAGCCAAGAGACAGCTGAGCCTCGGAGCCCATGCGAGGGTGAAAAAGGGACTGCGTGCAGTGAATACCGTAAATGAACATGAAGCAAAGGGCATCTCTGGGGAGGAGTGATGTATTGCAGGGCTCTCTTGCACAAGTAGAGAGCATGGCTTCCTTGCTGTGCTGCAGTCTTGATGGGACGTTTGTGCTATAGAGAAGGATGGAGGTTTTACTTAAGTAGAGCCTCAGAATCCCCTTCCTCCTCCCTGTACTCCTCCTACTTGAGAAGAAAGCTTAGCTCTTTGAGTAGAATGGGTAGCTAGAAAGATGGGAAAAGTCAAAGTTTTCACAGCAAAGGAACAAATTTCATCCCCACTGATGCTGAAAAGTAAGTCATCCTAATGGTAATGGATGCGATGGCGTGTCTACTTGGGAGAGAACCAGGCTTTCCCTTAAACGTCRTATATCCAAAAGATTCATTACCTGGTTCTTCCTGGTCTGAATTTCTGAGTTCCCCTAGCTTTTTGGCCAGGTTTCTCTGTGCCCGTTTGCGTGGATTTTGTTCCTGAGGCCAAGACCTCTGCTGGCAGGAGCCTGCTGAGGTCTGGGCACTTGCTTTTGGGAGAGCTTGCCCCATTGTCCCCAAAGCCTCTAGAGGTGGCTTGGGGCCGTCTCCCCAGAGATGAGGTTCCTTTCTGGAACTGATCCAGTGTGATGGGGATTATTCTCTGCTTTTTTTTTGACATTGGATGGTCTGTTTTGTTGYACTTGGAAGCTCCTTGCAGTTTCCTCAGGTTGGAAAAATATCGTCATGGCTGGAAAATCTAGAAAGTGGTGAACAGCTTATCCTAAACCGCCTCCCTGGGGAATTCAGCAGCCCTGCTTGGTCCATCTCTAGAAGAGGCTTGTGATGGTGCTTGCTTCCCTTCTCTGGGATSTGGCTGGGGCTGCCTGTTCCGTGAGTGTCTTGCTTTGCAGGATGTGAGATGGCTTCGTTCTGCATGCAGAGCAACTCCAAAGCAAACACACCAGCCTGTAAGCAGTTAGTCTGTGTGCAGGATGGGAGGAGTCATTGTCATGTTTGTGAGGGGCAGTTCCCCCTGTGCCTGGTATATGCATCATCAGGAGAGTTTTTCCCAGGGCAGTGCTAATCCTGCAAACACTGTGCTCTGTCTTACTGGGCACCATCACTATGTGCCCCAGTCATCCTGGTTTCTAATCCTTCCTCATCTTTCAGGGTTGGAGYGTGGATCCTGATCTCCATGCGCGCTGCCAGCTTGCCAGACCCTTGGTGTTCAGGTTGCTGCTTCTCCTTGGACCCAGGGCAACGCTGCAAACCTGGTTTAGCTTTGCTGGCAGCTGGGGCAATCCAGACTTCTGCCCTGTTACGGAGAATGTTTCCTGTGCTCCGTTGCCACCTTGCTGCAAAGCCTGCAACGTAGTCCCGGGTCCCCCTGTAACCTCTGGTRTTTCATCTGCAGGTGATGACAAGTATGGAAGGAAAGTCATTTTGTTCAGTGCCTGCCGGATGCCCCCAAGTCATCAGCTTGACCATGTGAAGCTGCTGGGGTGAGTAGTGTCTGAGGTGGTGGCTATTTGGCTTCCTTAGCCTCACATAATTCCCAGGCCCTGGCTTGCTGAGGCTGGTTCCATATGCAGTCTAGACACATCCTTGCAGACTGCTGTCTCCATTACTGGGGGTGTAAATCCTCTCTTACTGCACCCTAAATGCAGCCCAAAGGGAGAAAGAGCCTCTCGGAGGCAGAGCATGAAGCAAGGTCAGCAATTGCATCTCTGCAGGTACCTGAAGTTCACGCTGGACCAGTATGTGGAGAGCGATTACACGCTGGTGTACCTGCACCACGGCCTGACCAGCGAGAACAAGCCCTCCCTGGGCTGGCTGCGCGACGCCTACCGGGAGTTCGACCGCAAGTGAGTGAGGAGGGCACGGGCGATGCTCTCCTGTAGCCTGCCCTAGGGCATCTTCTTCCTGCCCTACCATGTAGTCCTCTGTCGCTTATATTTACTGTTTGTGGAGGGGAGTAATTCGATGCAGGCCAAATCAGGGGCCACACAGCCTCTCTTGTAGTTACATCCTTCAGGAAACAGACAAGCAGCGATAGCAGGAAACAGTGCAAATCTGCTAGCCCCATAGTATAGCTGTTGCTTCCTGATGAGGCTGCTCACTGCTCCCTGGGGCATCTTTGGTCAGTGTAGAACATGCCCTCAAGCTGCTGGGCTGCCTGAGATAYATGGGAAGAGGAGGCCTGGCCGTGGTGAGGCAAAGTGCAAAGGGGAAGGAGTACACAGGGATGCTGTAATCTAGTGGAAAGGTTGATTCCTTTGCTTAAAGCACAGTTTATCCTCACTTAGCCTCTCTTGGCAGGTACAAGAAGAACATCAAAGCATTATATATTGTACACCCGACTATGTTCATCAAGACCCTGCTGATTCTCTTCAAGCCCCTGATCAGGTAGGAAGCAATGCAGGAAGCTCGTGTGCATGGTCACACAGCTGGGGGGTGCTGGGGCCTTCTCAGTGGGGCACAAGATGAGCCCCACAGGCTGCTGAGCGTGCCCTTATGTCTCATACCCCATGTTGTCTCCTTGTATTTCCGAACTCGGAAATATGTAGGTAAAAGAACACCTGCTTTGGGAGCCCAGTGAGTTTGCAGGCCTGTGCTGCTCTCCTGCTCTGCAGCCAAGCAGAAGCAGCCTGTTGCTGACTCTGCAGCTAAACAGAATGGAAGGGAGCGCGTCAGTCCAGATTACATTTCATGTTGTAAAATAAATGAAAAGGGAAGTTTTCTCCAGCCTAAGTGCTGAGCTTAGGAAAGGGAAGGCAAGGGCTTCAGGCAGCTCTTCTGTGGCTTCAAACATGATTTGGAAAGTTTTGGTATTTCCTAATAAAATATTTTAAATTGGAGATCTGTGTGGGAGATGTTTCTGTTTCTTGCCCATACCTGTCTTGTTGCCCTGCTGATGTCTCCTGAAGACCCCTGCTCTCCTTGCCTTTGGAATATCAATTCTTATACCAGATTTCCCATTTCTCTCTTTTTCAGCTTTAAGTTTGGGCGAAAGATTTTTTATGTGAACTTCCTTAGTGAGCTGGAGGAGTACGTGAAGCTGGAGCAGTTGGGAATCCCGAGCCAAGTGCTGAAGTGAGAGTGCTGCCTGCCCTCCCATTTGTTTAGGGCTCCATGATATGGGATCTTTCTGGGGGAATAGCAAGGGGGAGAAGTGGAGGGGATGGAAGGGTTTGTTCCACCCAGGCAGTGGTTAGCAGGGGAGTGGTGCCAAATTGCTGCAGAGACCTTTGTTTCTCTCCGTTTCCTTTGTATGCATCTGGCTCCTGTGCCTGGCTCTGTCCTGAAGTTGGAAGTGCCTCTCTGGTGCAGTGCCTGTCCTATTTCTGCCACCTACCACTTGAGGGCTGTCTGCAGGCTGTGCCTTAAACACTGACCTGGAGMTCTTGCTGCTCGTCTGCTGTGCGGGGGCACCTGCTTTGGGTGCTTAGCACAGGTTCGCTCGTCTTTGAGGCTTCCCAAGGTCCCTGCAATCCTGGCCCCGCCAGACTGATTCCCTTTCGTTCATGTAGGCAGGGAGCTGCCTCATCAAGAGCACTGCTGCCCTGGCCTGCTGCCCTTGCTCTCTCTGATTCCCCCAGCCCATTTTCTGACTCCAGACAGATCTTTCTCTTTGTCTGCTTTTTCCTGGAAACCAAATGTTTGTCTTGGGCTCCTGAGCTGCATGTCCTGTTTTTGTGCAGGTGGAATCAACTGTGCTAGGCTGGAGCTTCCTAAGAACTGTTACCATGGGTCAGCAGTGAGTCATGTGTAGAGCTGGGTTGCTGCTCGCTCCGAAATGTGGAATGGTTCTTTACTGGTCTGTGTTTTGCCACAGATATGATGAATATCTGAGGTCCCTGCAGAAGCCCTCCCAAGTGCCGCAGAAGCCAATCCCCCCGCGCCCGCCGCTGCCAAACCAGCAGTTTGGAGTCTCGCTCCAGCAGTGAGTATCTGTGGATTGTGCTGCTTTTGCCCCGGCCTGGCTGAAATGAAATCACTGTATTTATAAGTGAACAGCTGCAGAAATAGCTGTAAAATTTCTTGCAGTTTGGACTTGCCAGAAAACTTGAGTCATCCTTTTGAGAAACTGTTCTCATGTCCAGATCCTGACTAACTTGGTTCAATTCCACCCTCCTGATTTACAGGCTACATCCCACTGTAAATTACAATGAAATTGTTCTGTTGAAGGTGAGGAATTATGCTCAGATGGCTCTGTGGCCAGAGACACCCTCCGAAGCAATCTGAAAACACATTCCCCAGCTTCAGCAGAACTTTCCCAAATATAAAACATGTGGTGCTGCTTTCCTGAGCTTGCTAGTGGCCTGAGAGGGTGAATGACTCCATGCTTGRAAGTGGTGCAGACTGTCACGTGTGAGGGTGGCAGCTAACACATTGGCAACCCCAGGCCTTCCCTGCCAGTRGGCTTGGTATGTCTCCCATTACAGCGGGTAGGCACAGGCACGGGAGGGCCAAGTTTATTCTGTGYGTCTTTCTCTCATGTGTCAGTTGCTTTCTGTTTTGTCCCACAGTGGGGAAGGGAAAAAGGAAGTTGAGGCCTCTTCAGGAGGTTGTAACTAACGGCCTTGTTTTCTGGGAGCATCTTTGCCCTGGCAAATTGATGCTATGATTTTTGTAGAAGGCAGAGAAATGTCTCTGTGATGTGGTTACGAGCCCATACTTGCCCCAGTGAGTGACTTGGTGTAGTGGGTGCGAAGGAGAGAAGGCTGGAGCAGTGGGTGCATGGGGGCAGCAGGATTCCGAGTGGCTGCCCATGATCCTGCAGGTTGTGTGGGCAGGTTTCCGTGTGTGGGGCTGCACGCAGGGCTCAGCTGACCAGGCGTTTCTGACCTTCCCTGTGTTCCCACAGCCTGCGGGAGAAGAGCCCCGATCAGTCGTCCGTTCCTCTGGTGGTGAGGGAGACCATTGCCCATTTGCAGGAACATGGTGAGTGACTGGGGAAACTTCAGCCTCTCCTCTTTCCACATAAATGGCCTCTTCCCCCATCCAGTTTCCGTCCAGAAAATAGTGGGATGCAGAAGAATAACAGCACAGAATAAAGTGCAAAGACCTGAGGCGGGTGAATCAGCCTTCAAGAGAGGCTGTGCAGTATCAGGGCCTGGCAGACCGATTTCTTCTCAAGGTCCATACTCCCACTTGGATAAGAACAGCAAGTGCTCCTTATATTCTGTGCTTGCTGCTACACGTAGTCAGGAAGAATTTCAGTGCCCTAGGAAAGGGATGTGTCGGCATCTATCTGAACGACTTGCAACATGGATTTACAGCTGTTAGGACTGATATTGGCAGAGACTCCATGTGACTGATATTTCTTTTCTTTTTGCTCTCACTTTACAGCTCTTGGAACAGAGGGGGTTTTCCGAAGATCAGCAAACACACAGGTTGTCAGGGATGTCCAGCAAAAATACAACATGGGTACGTGGCCCAGCTCAGCAGAGCCCTTCTTGTTCCCTAACTCTTGCCAGCCAAACAGAACTGCCGTGGAGCTGCTCTGCCRTGGCTCCTCTCCTCTGGTGGGACTCGGAGGGAGGCCTTGCTGCTCTGTCGGGACATGACCTGAGCTGCAAGGGAGAGGTGTCAGATAATGCGTCTGTGTGGAAAACCTTCCTGAAATTTTCCCTGTTTCCCAGGGTATCCCATTGTAGTGAGGACAGAAGATGACCCAGATGAAACAATCTGCTTGGTTTGATGACTTYCAGAAGTGTAATGCTAAATTCAACAGTGCTTTGCATGTGCTTTTGGAGCAGATTTTTCTCCTTCCTGAGTTCTAGGCTCCAAGTCTCAAGTCCTACTTTGTCTGGAGGAAATGGGCTTTGGTTGGTCAGGGAGCRCTGAATCTCTGTTCTACTTTTCCAGGTTTGCCAGTGGATTTCCAGCAATACGAAGGTGTCCACCTCCCTGCTGTGATCCTCAAAACCTTCTTGAGGGAGCTACCTGAGCCCCTCCTCACTTTTGACCTCTATAGCCATGTTGTCAGCTTCCAAAGTAAGTTGTAACAAGAGGGTGCTGCTGTCCCCTGGATATTGCACGGGGCGATAGCAAAGACATCTTCCAGACCACCCTYGATTGGAGAAGGGGCAGCCCTGCATGGGGTACCCTGTGACTGCAAATTGGGCTTTCAGCAGGGGCGGGTGCTGAGGTCTTCCCTGTTTGCCTGGAGAGATGAGGGTTTCTCATGGTCCTGCTGGCCCTCTGTCTCTCCCTCTGTAGCTGTGGAGGAGGTGAATCGTGTGGATGTTGTTCGCAAGATACTCCAGACTCTTCCAGAAGAAAACTACCAAGTGCTTCGTTTCTTGACAGCCTTCCTGGTACAGGTGAGCTGCTCCAAAGTAGGCAGTCAACTCTGTTGCCGTCATCAGCTTTTGACTGCCCACTCTCTCCTTCCCTTTGAGAGGAAATGAGGCTTCAGGTAGGAATTTGCCTTCCTTTCCTGTATGCTTCTCTTGTACAGAGATTGGAATTGATCATGAGGACCTAGCCTAAAGCCGGGCCCTTTTCATGCAGTGGAGAGGTGCAAGCAGACATCAAGTCAGTGTGGTCTGTACTGAGGGGGCTGAAAGCTCCCTGAGATGCTGGCACATCTGCAAGTTATCTGAGCAGAAGAATGAACTAGAAAAGGGGCTAAGACTCACCCCAGAGGATCTTCWGTTCCCGGGCAGCCACTGCAAAGCTGTGCTAGTCAGAAGGAAGATGATTTGGGCTAGAGCCCAAATCAGGACCGAAGAAATATTAGCAGAGAGCCCTCTCTGTCCTGATATTATAATGTGTCCTTGGGATTGAGCCATAGTGAGAGTGGGAAGTGGCAAGATGTGGCTCTGAGTCTCCTGAATGCTGATGTTTCCCCCAGCCATCTTCTGGCACTGGGCCTTCAGCTTCCACACCTACCCTTCTGCTTCTCTTTACCCTCAGCACTCTCTCAACTCTGGCTTTGGGGAGGGTCGAGGGCAACTGCTCTGCTGTTCTGTGGCATTCATAGTGGTCYTTTTCCTTCCCACACAGGTCTCTGCTAACAGTGACCAAAATAAGATGACAAACACCAACCTAGCGATTGTTTTTGGCCCAAATCTGCTGTGGGCCAAAGATGCAGCCATCACCCTCAAAGCCATCTACCCCATCAACAGCTTCACGAAGTTCTTGCTGGACCACCAGAAGGAGCTGTTTGAGGACGTGGAGGCCTGAGCCCAGGCTGGCCCACACCAGCACACTGTGCCCACCTCACCACCTTCTTTCCTGCCTTGCCCTGGGGCTGTGGCCAGGCTGTCCCCAGTGCACAGGGACCACTGGTTCGCCGGGTGATGAGCAGAGCGAGGGCAGCGCGGCTGGGGCACTAGGTGTGTGTGTGAGCGAGCAGGAGCCCCTGCTCCAGCTGGGCAGGGGAGCTGGTCTCCCGCCTGTTGCGCGCGGGGCCCCAGCCCTCTGCCAGCCTGTGCAGCTTCTCCAGGGCTCATCACCAGTCTGCTCCCACATGAGCTGACCTTCCTTCCCTCCTTCCCTCCCTCCCTCCTTCCCTCCTTCCTCAGCTGTGTTTCTTCTGCCGTCCTGGTCCCCAAGCAAAGACCCAATTTGTTTAGACTCCCCAGAGTCCCGGCACGTCCCCCTTGCCTCAGCTGGGCTATCGAGGCTGGGGCAGGCTTGCCCTTTTTTTTTCTTTTTTTTTTTTTTTTTTTTCTCTCTTTTTTTATCAGGGAGGTTAGGAGGGATGGGGAGGGGGATGTGAGGGCAGAGATGTTCTTGCTGTGGGCCCCATCATCTCAGCCCTGACCGTGCGTCCTGCCTTTCTCTGAAAGCACCCGAAGGGAGCAGCAGGCAGCCCTCGCGCCTCCGGTAGCAGCGCGTCGTGCCCCTGGCAGACACCACTGCAGAGCCTGGGGGTCTGGCAGGGGAGCGAAGGGCAGGCTCGGTCAGGGGACCTGGGCTGTGTGGGCCTGCTGCGCTCCGACACGGGGCAGCTGAGGTTAGCCCACCCTGCTTGCTGTGGAGACTTTCTACACCCCGCTTTCTGTAGAGACTCTTCAGCCTTTGCTGGCGTTGGGAGGTGCCTCCCACAGTCACCCAGCTCAGGTGTTGATGTCCCTCCAGCAGCATCTCCAGCCTGGCTGGGAAGGGTCGTGCCCAGACTGGCTGCACGTGGGGCCAGGCTCGAGGCACTCACAGTGAAYCTGAGGCGCAGGGCGCAGTGCCCTCGTGATACTGAACTGCTGAACACTGTGACGATCACTGCCTTTCCCTGTCGCAACAGCACAAGGCCTCCTTGACCCTTTCAGGCACATGTACCTGTGCCACCTGGCACGGGCTGCCTTGGCCATTGTTTTCCTCTTTAGTTTGAGCAGAACTTTCCCCAGCACAACGTAAGGGAGAGCCTGGCCTCCAAGGAAGGTCTGGGYGCTGGGGCCAACCCTTCCTTTGGAGCGCAGCAGACCTGGCTTTCAAGTGTCTGCCCAGGTGCTGAACACTTGTGTGCCAAACGGGGAGGGAACCGCCTCTCCATGCCCATCTCCTGCTCGGTTCCTGCTTCCCTTCCCTCCTGCGCGCTGCCGCCTTGGGCGCGTGGCGTCCCCCTTGCTTGAGCTGCAGGAGAGCCCTCTCCGAGCCTTAGGGCTAAGYTCCTGGGCTAAGCTCCTGGGCTAAGCTCCCAGCCTTACCCGAGCAAGTGTTTTGTCTCGGGCCTTGCGCGCCTGGGTCAGTTTTGCTCCCTGCTGGATCTGACCCAGGGGCACATGTGTTGGACCAAGCAGAGTTCATTTTGTAAGAGGCATTGGAGTCTACATGGAATTTAATTTTTCTTATAGCATTTTAACCTGCCTTTAAACAGCCGTTCAGGGTTGGTGCCTTGGTTGTAATGGAAGTAACTGCTGGGCTGCTGCTGAATATCGCCAGCAGGAACTGTGCAGGCTGCTGCACGGGGGCCGCCCCGGGAGCTCACGGTGGCGCCGGCCGCCGCTGCGGGGCCCTGTGGGGCAGCGCGGGAGCCTCCGGCGGGAGCGGCTGGGAACCGGGAGCCTCCAGCGGAAGGTCCCTATGGCCGGAGCATGAGGAGCTCCAGGGCCAGCTCTGATCCCTGCGAGGGGCTGGGGCCTTTCCCTTACGGGAGCTACCAGGCTGCCTACTCTCCCTCCCGTGAGAGGAGGGATCTGCCTGGTTTGATTCGGCCGTGCATTTTCAGGACGATTTGGAGCAGTAGCTAAAGGAGGTTTGGAGGYAGCGCCCTGCTCCGGAGTCGCCCTAGGCCTTTGGGCGCGTGGGGGGCGCGTGGGCGGCTGCTGGGCGCTGTGGGGCCGCTGGGCGCTGTGGGGCAGCGCGGGGCAGGCGGCCGGGCAGCCGCTGTCGCGGGGCCCTGCGAGCGCCCACGGGGCTGCGGGCAGCCCTGGGCCTCGGCGCAGGGCACGGGGATTGCAGCAAGTGTCTGTGTTCTGCCTTTTTCCGTATTTCTTTTTTCTTTTTTTAATTTGCAATGAAGCTCCTGCAGTGATGTTTCCTTTTTTTAGTGAGATGAAGCCTGGCGCATCCCCTGCGGGCAGGGATAGAGCCTGCTCCAGGTTAGTGCCTGCAGGGAGTGGCTTTGGAGAGTGCTCAGGAAGCTCCTCGTGGTCGTGGTGGGCACGTGCTTGTACATCCCGGTGTAAATACCCCTGTCCTGTGCTGCCGCTCCCGCTGGAGCTGCTCAAGGCCCTGGAGCAGGCGCGGTCCCTGGGGCAGCCCTGGCTCCAGCAGCCTGCTCTCCTGTCCGCCCCTGGCCGAAACCTGCCCCTGGTGAGGGCAGGGACCCTGGCAGCCCGGGCTGCCCCCGGCTCCGAGCGCCCTACCTGCAATTCCCTGCGCCGCCGCTCGCCCCTTGGTGCCGGTGCTGGTGCCCACGGCTCTGCCCGGGCTCTYTCTTCTCCTCTGCGTGGAAGTGGGAGGCAGTGTCTGATTCGGGGGCTGCTCTTTACTATGTTTTCCCCCTTGGTGTGAGGCTCCCCAGGGTTCACTTCCCCGGCTTGTTTTTAGGTGAGCGCCGGCCCCTTTCCCTGTGCGAGGGCAGAGCCCTCGCTCCCGCTGCAGCCCCTGGCACGTGGGCCGCTGCGCTGAGCCCAGCGCCGTCCCCGGCGCCCCAGACGGCTCCCGACCCGGGCTCGGTGCCGCCGCCAGAGCCGCCGTGTGGTGCAGCTGCCAGGGGGCATCCGGGTGCCGTGGGGCAGCGCGTGCTCCCTGTGGGAGGGCTGAGGACCAGATGGGCCCTTGTTTCCTCTTTCATATGCGGAGCCCTTGTGCAAAACTCCTGCCTTTTGCTTTTGTTGCTAGTGTCCCCTGCCTTCTTTTCTGTTGGTGTACATCAGGTGCGGGGCTAGGGTTTCCACAGTGGTATCAGTTCACATTCATGTTTATTTCCTTTTTAATCTGCACCAATCTTGTATTTCACAGTTTGCACTTTTTGTATTTCAATAAAAATCAAAACCTAATCCTAGATCCAGGTTCATCTGTGCACTGGCAGCCTCTGTGCCACATCTGCAAGAAACAGGCGGCCGTGCTGCCAACCAGAGCTGCTCAGAGAAAGGGAAGCGAGAAGAACAGCACCCATCGCTGAGGAATGTGGGGGGAGTCCTCGTTCGCAGGAGCCTCGGAGCGAAGCCGGGAGCGGGGTTAGGGTAAGAACGAAGGGCTGCCAGGTTGGCTCTTTGCTGCTCCACCACGGGCTCAGCAGGGCTCGGCTCTGGTTGCTCCTTCCACATCCGTGTCTGCCGCGGTGCCRGGGGCCAAGAGCTCGGCCTGTTTGCAGAGCTGTGCTGCCCGCCCCGCTTCCCTCCTTCAGCGAGGGGAAGGGACCCTGGGGTCCCCTAGGCTGGCTCAGCGAGCGAAGCTTTGGGCCCCGCAGCCGCCCCTCTCCGTGCCCAGGGCTGCGCTGGAGCAGGAGGCGTCCCCCCCGCTGCCGTCACGGGCATCTGCAGGGAGAGCCTTGGGCAGAGCCCACGCAGACTTCCCTCTGCAGGAGCCCTTCTACCCCCTCAGGACATTCCCCCTGGTTTTTCCAATGCAAATCGTGCTGGGTTTTTCTGCTTTCAACGCCTCTCTTTTTGAGGCAGTTTAATGTTTCAGCTGGCATAGGACATCCAGACAACTCCTGATTTTTTCCAGCTCACACGGTAGGTTCCATGGCAGGCCCAAGCTCTGCCTCTGGAGCCAGCTGGGCACCCATCCCATCCTTTTCTCGCTATCCTTTCCCCCAAGAGGTGCCTTTGTGCTGGGATCCTGCTGCCTATCCCTGGTTTCAAGTAGTGCTCCCTGGCTCGCTGGAAGCAGAGCCTGTTCCAGGCTGCTCTGGGAAACTCGCTGACGGAAAGGCCATTAGGGAAGAGCTGTTCTGGACCTGCAGAGGAGAAAGACCTGGAAGAGCAGAGCACTGCGGCAGGCTGTTGCTTACATAAAAGTTTTATTGGAAATTCTTTGAATACTTAAAGTACATTGGAGACTATTTCCAAAACAATGCAATTTAGGACCCTTCCCCTCCACCCAAAGCATCTGTAACTCAGCAGCAGCTACCTCCATGCTGTCCTTAGTGTGGAAAGTTGAGTGGCTGCTACACTCACAGTCCTCATAACACAACCTGTGGCAGACCACGGCAGCAGCTCCATCCCTCCTGAAGCAGAACACTAATGCAGTGATCGGAAATCTGTCAGCCTAGATAAAGACTCTAGGTGTTAAAGCTGAGGAGTATCCAGAAAACAGGCACACACCTCAGCCCTAGAGAAGTTCTTTATTGCTGTGCCCATCCAGCTCAGCCCTCACGGCTCCTATGGACAGATTTGTAGCCTTTGAAGCAGGAAGACAGAACTGCAACACTGACATTCTGTCTTGTGCCATGTGGGAGCTGCAGTGACAGTAGGAACTACAACAACTGAGCACGAMTGTGTGTCTCCAGCGGGGCTCCATGAGGCCAGCCCGCCCTCTACCAACCCCGCAGCTTTTCTYGGTACCAACAGGACAGCAGCAGCGCTGGCCAGGTGAGGCTCAACCCATCCCAGTCCTCCCCGTGAGCACCGTGTGAACCAGCACTTTCCTGGGTCTCTGCTGCTTGGCAGCTCAGGTCACAGCCKGTCCCCAGGCCCAAGCTGCCGCTCACGGGAAAGGTGAGAGCAGCTCYGGTGTAGAGAGCAGCTCCGGAGCCGAGAGGAAAGCCAGGGGATCCACCAGCTCCTGGTGTTCCTGGACCCTTCTCCTCTGCCCCTGTACGAGGAGGGGGCTCTGGCTGCTAGGATCAAGCATTTGTTAAATGCCACGTAACCAAAGCCCCCTTGCAAGCTGCTTGTCTACAAAGGCTTTCTGAACGCCCGTGCTTCTTTGCAAGGAGTAAGGACTACCTGGATACAACAGTGCCGAAAAGCTGGATTTGTTGACTGAGCTAGAAAGGGTCTGGTGGATATTGCTCCTTGAGAAAAGCTCTTGCTGGGTGTAGAGCACGCACAGCCTCCCACCAACCAGGCTGCAAGAGAGCAGGGAAGGCTCTGAGCATCCTGCTACAGCTGGGCCTTCACAGCAAGCTGTATCCTCATGTCAGTTCCTTGGGGTCTGAGCAGCACAGAGGGGTTCCCCCAGCCTACCATCGTTTGTGTTTAATCCTGATTAAATTCCTTTTAATCAGGAATTCAGCTYGTGGGAGAGGCCACGTTTCAGCAAGGAGGCGGCTCGTGACTCCACCGCCTAAGGAGGCTCAGGTGGTTCCTCGGCACAGAGGACGCACAACCCCTCCCAGGGGGAAGGGAAATAAAGTGTTTTCGGACTCTAAAGGGGTCTTGCAGTTGCTCCYGCTAGTTACAGGTGCGAGGAGGGGGGAGAAGCACAAAGAGACCAACCCTATCCAAGCTTCTTAGTGTCACTGTTTCCCTCCCTCCCTCACGTGAGTCGAAGATGCACAACAGCCAAGGTGACCCCAGGGCACCGCCAGCCGCCCCCATTGCTGATAGCCAGCTCATTACAAAAATAAACTATCAGGTAATCAAAAGCCAACGGATTAAAAAGTACCATAAGCCTCCCCGCCCAAAATGTGCTTCTGTGAAGAAGCTGCCTTCTGAATGGCTGAAGAAAAGAGAAGATTCATCCATGCCTCTCAGAACACAGCTTCTGGCTAAGTCCCTGCCACTCCACTCCACTGCTGTGTGCATTTCTTATACAGATGGGCCCTGGCTGAATGTTATGGAAACACAGTCCCCAAAACAGAGTATTATATTAGAGTAATCAAGTTTGTCTCAGAAAATAAATATCCTGGATTTTTTCTTTTTCCAGCAAAGGGAAACCATTCTCACTGGACAGGGTTCCATGGCACACTTGCTGTCTGCAGTGATCCAGGGCAGAACGACCCGCACTACTACATGAAAACAGAACATCTTTTAAATATAGGATTCTTTAAAAGCAATAAATATTTCTTGATTCTTAAGATCATCTATTAACCATAAAGCAGCAAAGTTTGCAAGGGTTAGAGGAAAGAATCTTGGACTAAGACTCCTAATTACATAACCCTAAAGAAATAGGATTCTGACTATTTACAGTTGCATTTCAAAAGCAGAGCCTATGAATTCAGCATCATCCCAGCTGCTACTCGCAGGACTGTCAACAATGTCAGCACTGGTGAACTCAGCATGGCAGTTTCCATACACTCAGGAAGGGGGGGAAACATGGAAAGCGCTCCCGGAGTTTCCCTCCTGCTTATCTGACAAACGTGGAGAAGGCCTCACAGAAAAAGACCACAGAGAGAGCCAGTTCCTCGCAAGCAAGAACCAAGGGGGACTCTGTGTGGCACCGGTCCCAGCGCCTCGCTGTGCGCCAGGCACTCGCGCTGAGGTGGGGACCAAACGCCCCACTCTGCAGGACGCACGTCCTAGGCTTGGAACTGCTGAMGCTGCTGAACTCACAGACCTGGAAACGAGCCAAGGCTTTCTATGCTCTAACAGGACTGAAGACTGTAGGGAAAACAGTCAGTTAGCAAGAAGCTCTGTCTGGAGCAATCAAACTGCAGGGCCTCGGYAGGAAGCGACCGGCAGCTTTTCACAAACCCCTCCACGCAGACAAGAGGCCGAAAGGAAAATGAGTTTTCTACGTTGCAGTTTGACTTCCTGTGTCCCCGTTAAATTCACAGACTCACACCTGAATGTGACAGGAAAAGCAGTCCAGATCTACACAGGGGGGTAGCTGAGGAAAACTGGCAGATGAGCTGCATCTCTGCTGAAGACAGCGATCAAACAGAGCTCATCGATGGAAGGAAATGGTTAAAGGAGACAAAAGGCAGAGTGGGGCTGAAAACAGAGATACTTGTTGCCATTATTCTCCAGGATGCCTTCAGGAAGAAGAACCGCTGCAGCAAAATGGGAAAACAGCTTCACTGCAAGGTCTCTACGAAGGCATCAAACTCTTTGACGTTTTTCTCGTGGACTGCAAGCTTCTCTGGTAAGGAGTCCTGGAAAGCAAACAAGGGCTCAGATCAGGACTCGCTCTGGCAGATAAAAGGATGCTTTAACGCACACCCTGAGGCTGAAATTCTCCTTCTGAGTCACGCTGTCCCTCTCGTTTCCCACACGGACACAAAAACAGGAGTCCTCTGGCAGCACCTGGCAAGTGCCCCGAGAAGGGCACTCTGCCCAGGGTTTGTTTGCTCCGCAGAAGCAGCGAGTGCATTGAGGCCTGGCCTCCCACAACTGCCTCCAGCAGCTGCAGCACCAAAACCTGCTGATGCTGCTGCCTTAACCAAGTCACAGCCCTGAGCCTTTGGTGCTCCTTTCTCCCTGAGAGCCCATGGCAAGGGCTGCAGGTCCAGGACTGCACTCCCCAGACGTGTGTGTGTGTTTGTGTGTGCACGGGTGTAAGCACCAGCTTCCCCCTGCAGCAAGCAGACTGCAGCTGCCCTCATCCTGATGCTGAATACACCGGCTTCAGGGGCTCGGGTGTGCCACAAACGGGGACCTTTGCCTGGGAGCCTATAAATGAGGGACCCCATTAGGCAGGGTTGCTCTTCTGAGAGATACTAGCTTGGCCGGGAGACTATAAAGAACATGTAATTTCCACAGACTGAAATCTCATAGTTGCATACCAAATCCTCTGCCATGGACTGAGCTCCAATGTCAATTGAGAGGCTGCTGAGTTGAGGTGGGTTCTGAAACTCACGGTAAAATGTCCCCAGGTCCATTGGAAGAATGTCATCTTTTGAAAATGCTGGTTTCTAGAATCAAAGATACTGCTGTTAATTTCTGTTCAGAGACTTGCCTTTCTTTTTGCTGTAGTCTCAGGTAAAGACCCCATCTGCTATCAGTAAACATCCTGGCATTACAGCTATTGCTGCAATAATTCAGATTAAATAACTGAAGCTTTGCCCTTATTAGCGCCTGCCTAGGCCTAGGTATCTGCTTGCCCGAGCCCAAGGAAGAGATTCCCTGGAATCTGTCTCCTTTAYGCAACAGAGAGAGCAGAGCAAGCACATGTGTTGGTAGGAACTGCAAGACTGTTTCATTTACAACTTTTGGTTCAGAATGTCACTGCCTGTGCAGTTTTGAGACTCAGTTTTGAGCTCAGTTTCAGGACAGTGAATCACAGGCCTTTAGAGCCAGGGAAAACTGCTGCCAAGAGAGCTGCACCTGGAGCCCACTGAGCTGCAGGTGCTGTGGGTGAGAGCACTGATGAGGCACTTACAAAGTCAATCATAACAAAGTCATCGTGGGTGTTCCCTGTGCTGCTGCCACTGGAGCCCTCTGAGTGTAAGCTGCCTTGTAGAGGAGATTCAGTTTCGGGGGAGTCGGGAGGATTCACCTGCTCGAGAAACCAAAAACTGTGAGTGCTCATCTTACCACGGAGCCTGTCTGCATGTGGTGGGAGCGGGGGCACGGAGGAGGCTGGGCAACAAGCACACATGACACCTGGGGCAGCAACTGCATTCTCTTGATTGCAGAGCCTGAGGCCCAACATAGGGAATTTCTTGAAATCAAACGAATGTAGACAATTAGCTCTTTCTTTAGAGARAAAAAAAGTGTGCATAAGATAAGAAACAGGGTGGCTGTTGCATGAGAGGCTGTGAGGGCACAGATTATACCTCTGAAAGGGGCTTACCATGGGGTCGTTATCTTCGAGCTCAACATTCTTGGGAGCAAACATGGCAAAAGGAATGTCTAAGTTGGCCATGGTTACCTGAGGAGATTTAGCAAACAGAATTTCATTAAGATGCTCTGCTTCCCCAGAAAAGAAAAAGATACTGGAAGTCTTTGTCAGGTCTCTCAAAAGTTGCCCAAGATCACATTGGCAGTTTGCAGGAGGCTGACAACCCCATTGAAAAGGCATAAAATAGAGAGACTGTACTTGACTGACCCAATACAGGTATGTGCCCAGTGGAGGTGGGATGGGTTATGTAGAGTATATGCAAAACAGGCATTAATAAACTGCTCCAGATTTCAACCRTCCCCCTTCATCCATCCAAAAATGCCTACAGGAAAGCTTAAAGCTGCCCTAGCTGAGCTTCTTCAGTGGTTACTTAGTGATGATGAACTGCCCTACTGCACATTCCCCCAAGGAATGGGCGTTTGCTCCCTTTTTCCCCAGTTCAAGAGCCCGTGGCAGACTGMTGGGGGGCTTGGGGAAGTCATGAATGTCTTCCATATGAAATATAAATAAGTGACTTCCAAATGAAGTCTTCCTTACCCAAACAGGGAGTCAGTGAGGCRGGGGAAATTCAATGGCTGTCACATATCAAAAGGATTTTATGACAAACATGCCTGTGACAAGACCTTGTAGGCAAATACTTCAGCAGGGATTTGTACTCTCATTCTCCTGGATTGCCCTGGCGCTGTGGCACTAGGTTTCCTCTGTGCAGAACCGATCGGAGAAGCCGGGTATTACGGTGCCCTCTGAGAAGATCTACTGCCATTACCTGGTTAATGGGCTTGTTGACAAAAGCTCCCACCTTCCGGACAAAGACKGTTTCCAGAAGGTCGTGGGGGGAGCCACACTTCCCTTCGCTGCTGTTGGATACTGTTTCTGTGTCCTCACTGAAGGAGTAAGAGAGACCAGCTAGTGACTCGCGGCACAAACAACACAGACAAGTCTCCTGCTTTGCAAGGTTAACTCAATGCACAGCTATTAGTTATTTCTGTGACTTGTTTTCTTTTCTTTCCTTCCAAAGATCTTCCTAACTCTATAAAACATAAAAATAGCTAGAGTGCTCTGTTAAGAGGACTACTTTTGCAAGATACCCAGGAAGGTACTAGYGCAACTAGAATGCTTTTTGGTCTCTCCGTAGCAAAATCTCTGCCTAAAAGATTTAATTCAGAATTATATGTGAAGACAGGAGATACTTAGCAAGAAATTAATGTGGTATTGTAAAAATGAAGGACTGAATTAGCAGAGAGGGAGGTGTTTTTAAAACAGTTTGAGGTGGCATTGTTTGCTTTTAATTAGCTTAGTGCTTGAAGATTATTTTAAAGGTAATACATGAACAGACCTGCAAAATCTGTGACTATTTTCTGTAACAATTTGCATTTTTGCTCTCTAAAATGGAGACAGTAGAAGATAGCATAGATGTTAAGGTGAGTGGAAGGTGGAAGGAGCTGCACTAGAAAGTGTGAACAGCTGCTAGCTGTTTTAAGGGGCTGAGGGGGAGAGGGCAACAGCTGTGCTACAAACAATAGCTTAAAAAGAAAACAAAGCTTCAGTTTTATATGATTATAAATGGATTAAGACAAGTGGCAGGCTATCTAGGACTGACCTACCTACTAGAAGGAGTAACTGCTGAGTAGTGGGCCCCATCCAGTGGGGTGCATATCCTTTCTTGGTCAGCTTGAGTGCCATGCGCTGGCTGGCTAGGAAGCGGGGGCACCCCCCCTTCTTTTCCTGGAGCAATCAACTGAGATGGAGAGAAAGAGCCAAGTTAGAGATGTCCGGATGGATTCAACGACACGGGACGGTGCAGAGCAGGCTCTGTTGTGCTGGGAGGAGGCTCTGCTCCTGGCATGCACCTGGCGCCGTGGAGCCCAGGGGTGGCAAGCAGAAGGTGCTCTCCACAGTGCAAGTGCCTTGGTGCTGCCTTCCTGCCCGCTGTGCTTCAGGCCCCACGTGCCCTGCAGGCCACTACAGCCGTTCCGAGGAGCAGCACAGGGGAAAATTGTATTCTCCTACCATCACTGTGTCAGCACAGCTCTGTTGTGGAAGCAGAGGGCAGAAAAACATTTCTGAGCTTATTTTTTCTTATGCCTGGATGCAACTATGCCAAAATGGACTGTCAGTGTATCCTTCATCCAGGCTAGAGTGCTGAGCTCGGACGGCTACGGTGACAGCAGCTCTGTAACAGAGCCAAGGCTTTGGAAAGGGTGATGCAAACAGGTGTAAGCAAACAGGTTTGGGACCTGTTCTTCTAGTGCAGTTTCTCCACGCTGCTCCTACCCTACCTGAGTAAAGCTAAGGATGCTCAGGAGCCAGTTCCCAGCTCCTCTGCAAGTGTAGCCTAGATTCTTTTCATTCCCAAGCAGAGAGGAAAGCAGTGCATGCCCTTGTTCCAGGCTCCCTCTCTGATGCACAGGTAACACACAGTGGTTGCAATACCAGCCATGCTTGTTGTTCTACCCTTTACAAGTACCTGGTGAGGGTGTGCAGCAGTCAAGCCACCAGCAAAGAGTACAGGATACCCCACGTCAGCCGATCCAACTGCCAGGGCAGCAGGCTGATAGGAAAGACGAGAGCTGGAAAGCTAAGAAAGAAGAGGGAGGGGGGAAAAACAAGAAGGGCAAAGGGAGAGGAGAGAGGAAAGGGAAGGGGAASGGCCAACACTCTGAATAATCATCAGGCACTGCAGAAGGAACAGGAGAAGCTGGAGGCAGAGCACAGTGTTTTGGGCTGGCAGAACAGATGCTAGATTTTTCATTACAAATCAATGGTGAAGATTATTGTTTTAAGAAGTTGCAGGGGACTAAGCTTTGGTCTTGATATGAGAACAAGACTGATTTCACACACATAGGAGGCTGTGCAAGGTATGAATGACATCTAACACAGGGAAATTCTACTTTACAGGACTGTTTCCACATACTGGAAAAAAAGCATGAATGCCATCACCAACTTATTAAGAGATAATATTTAAATTTTTTTTCAAAACAATTGCATTATTAGCAGTTTGAACTCTTTTCATTGTACATTCAAACAGCTGATCTTCAAATCTTGCCCAAACAGCTTCAGCAATAGATCATAGGGCCCTGGAGGTGCCCCAGTTAGAGCAACRGGCAGCTAGTCCGTGTGAAATGGCTTTAGGTATGAAGCGCTGGAAGCTGTGAAACACAGGACRGGCTCCTTGTGTGCCTTAGGTAGAAAGCTGGTTGGTAGGGCTCCTTCTGCTTTGGCCTCCTCATCTTCAGTTGTTCAGAGCTCTGCAGGTGGCACCCCAGCAATGGCAGTATCATTTACAGTGCTCTGCAYGGCCGTTTACAGGGGCCTCACCTGCACCTGAGGCCACTTCAGCTGAATGGAGCAAACTCCCCTTGGAGAAGGGCAAGACTGAAGTTGTTATATGCTGTGTTCCTGAGGGTATCTGGCCATTTTGATGTTTTTTGCAGGCATTAATACTGCTTTAGAGATTACTTTAAACCTATCCTCCTGTAAAAATTAATTTAAAAACTCTATAGAGACTGTACCTCACTGAAATGGTCTAGTGTTATCTCTGCAAAGCATCTTCAGCCCATACAGTCACACTTATCTATTCTTTGATGTCTTTATCTCAAGTCTTGTCTCGCAGTCATTGTTAGCGTTAGAAATGTAAAATCTCTAAGTTCAAACTGCTCCATTCTCCACCTGCCTTTGAAAGCCCTCCCACTAGTTTGTAGCAGCAAAGCGTTCCTACTTTATGAAGTGCTTCTCTGTCCTCTGCTTTGAGAGGCTCACACAAGCACGAGAAACGTGACTTCAGACAAACATGTGAGATGCAAACAAAGAACAGTGAATCAGGGCCTCATAGGTGTTACTTGCAACCATAAAGACAGATGTCAGATTTTTATTTTCTTCAAATTAACAGCATCTCTGTTGCAGCCTAGGAAAAGGTCTAAGTGACTGAAGAGATTCTAGGGCAGATTCTGCTATGCGAAAACACTCAGCAATGTGCCCTTTTACTTGCGTCCTTGACCGAGAGTTAATGCTTGCAGCAGCTGATGGTCGTTCAAATGTGTTTTTCCTATCTTGAGACACCTCCACTTGCAGAAGCACTTAAGCATGCAGCTCGCACTGAAATCCCTACAAGAGACAACTGGGCTTTGCTACACTTGGGCCCTACRGAAAGCAGGTGACATTCACTGACGTTAGTGGGATTGTCAGTGTCAGTGGGACTGAAGTTCATGCAGCCTTTTATGTAATTGCTGTTTAAAGGCTGTTAAGGTAGTATAAAAAAAAAAAATCACTATGCCCTTGCACTCGTTTTGGCTGTCCCCTCTTCTCCCTCCACCTGGCACACGGGATACAGACCTCCTTTGCCAAGGGCAGGCTGTATTTCTAGGCACCTGCAGTGTTGGAGCTGTAGGCTGGGCTCATTTCAGCAACGGGGAACGCTGAGCTCCTCCTCAAACACCGACCAGCCTGACACAGTCTGGGGCATTCTTYTAACTGGAAGAGTCTTTTAAAAGCTTGCTGAAAACAACTCCCTCCTCATATCCCCACTAAATGTTATAGGCTGCTTCCTGCGGGATTGATTGCTGTTCAGCTCCAAGACTGCAGATGTGTTTTATATTTGGAGAGCAGGGCCTTTGCAAACTAGACCCAATGATGTCCCTGTCCCCTCTGGGATACATCAGTCTCTTTGATGCGTAACAAACATTCTGCAGTGTCAAATTTGTGCTTTYCTGTATTTGTTCTGACATGCCAGTGTTATCTGGGCAGGAATAACATTTTCTATTGTCAACTCACTTGATGTGAAAAGGCCAGTCCCATCACTGGGACCTTCAAGGTGTCCGTCACCACAGGAGGAGGGGTCTGAAAATGTGCCTTTGTGACAGTAAAAACACACTGTGCACAGACACAGACACACAGAGGAAACAAGATAGCGAGAGAGAGAGACAGAGAGAGAGAAAGAGAGAGAGAAAAGGACTTCAGAGAAACTATAAAGAGTTGGATGAACTGAATGCTAGTGAAGAGGATTCAGCTGTCGCAGCCAAGAAACACAATTCTGTGTATAGCTGACTGCTTTCCAGTCTCAGGGAACCRTTCAACATGGCTAATATTCCAGACTCCAGGGAACTCTATCAGAAAAGTAACTGTCAGAAGCCCTGTTCCTCAGCTAATTAGAACTGTTAGCAGCCAATAGGCAAGGAGAAGACTGAGTAGTTGCCAAAAAACATGAACACTAATCTTATTTGGAAATGTATGAGTGGGAAATATTTCAATAATCTACATTCATGCACTCAATATCCATCCTTCTAAGAAAACAGCAAGGATCATATTTTGACATGTCTGTACTGTGCACTCAGACTAAAAGAGGGCCCAGGAGAAGGGACAGCTCAAATATACTGATATAGGGAGATGGCTCCTGCACCAGGATACTCCACAATTACCCTCTTTTCTTGCAGAGGCTGTTAGTGAAGAAATGGCATCCCAATCCCAGGCYGGCCCCTAATTTCTTCCTACTTGTTTTCCTACCAGTGCAGTTTTACGGATGTTTATTTGAGGGTGTGGTACCATCTGCACTCAGATATTTCCCCTGAATTTTAGGGTATTCTCCAACATGCATAACAGACATGCTAGGCAGGTCCCCAGGGAGAAGTAACACCTACTTGCTTGCACCATGCAGGCTGGGCCTCATTTCTGTGGGGAAGGCAGGTAGAGCTGTGCATAATCTGCATAGGAGTTGTCTATACCACACAGCTGCTCATATTTTCCTAAGCACCAAGTTTCATACAAAAAGCTGGAGGAAGAGAAACTAAAGTAGCCTCTTTTGTTTTCTTTTTCTTCCCTTATAATTTATTCTGGAGCCCTTGCCAGGAAAGTCTCACCATTCTAATGGTGGTTACAACGGGCAGTTGCTCATACATAAGCACGCAGTGTATGCYAGCTATGAACTACAGAAGGCAGGCTTGTGCTTGATGGGCATCCTAAAGGCTCTCCTGGTTTTATGAAGCTTTGGCCTCACTGAGAGGGAAAGCTTTATGTTCCCTGGGAAAGYGCCACTTTTGATGTATCTACAAACACTATTACTGCTAAGTAACACTGGCATGAACAAGCCAGTGGGTATTTCTTAGTGAACTCTATTACATTTCACCTGCTTGGTGAAAATRCAGCTCAGCCAAAAGCCCATCTCCTGAGTTGCATACCCAGGAACAATAAAAGCTTTATTCCATTAGACTTATTATGAGTGCCAGCCGCTCAGTTTAATGATGCCAGCTGCCCTGTTACSTAAACCCAGTCAGCACAACGGCACTTCCTAAGAGGTGCTCGATCCCAGCTCACCCATTCAGCAGAATACATTCTGCTAAACCCTCACACTCATTCCTCTGAAACTATAGGAAGACTCATAGCAAATTCTTTCAGATGGGAACAACATTCCAATTCTACTTCATTCTGTGCTTCACACTCACAGTAAAACAGATTTATGGGGCCTTTAGATTGCTCTATTGAACTTTAAAGAYAATCTGCTTGGCTGGATAAAAAGGCAGAACGCTCTTGCATGTTTAAAGCTATAGGAAAACTGCCAAAGTAGCCAAGTCTGCAAAATACAGAATTGCAGAGTCAGATGTATAACAAGAGAGACAGAAGAACTGGAGTTTCCATTTTTCAGAATTCAGATGGGATCCATTTATGGTTTCTTTTAAAATTAAAACTTAAAATAATGGAAATTTGCACAAATAGGTGGGAACAGATAATTCTGCTTAAAGTTCAACCTAGTTCAATACTACAATCTAGTTTGCTTGCCATTAGTTATTCTGGCTGCCCCTACTACTTTTGGATGGTCCTGCAAATGAGATTGTCTTTTTCCTATTTTTTATTATTCTGCAATCCAGAAGACATGACTGTGCCATAAGCCTTTTCCTGATATATGCATGTTTCTTTCCCAGTTTCAGTCTGTTTCCTCTGTAATAAGGCTGACTGGCATCAGTGTATTAAATCTGTCTCTTGCAGTGATCAGTATGTTTATGTATCAGTATGCTGCTCTACTCYTTAGGCTCATCTCAGCGCAGTTAAAGGACTTGGTTCTTTTAATCTTAATAACTCAGTATTTCTAGCCCTTTAGCTCTAGGACTAGGTTTCACTTAGTGTTACAATAGAAATAATAAACTGACATATTAAATTTTAATTTTTCAAATCTCTCTAGCAGCAGGAGGCTGCATCCTTGTAGTTGATGCAGGAGCAGGTACACGAGGCTAATCATGATGGGCCTATCTGGGAGAAAGAGCCTGTTTCCTCCTACCTGAGATGGAGGAGAGGTGGAGAAAGATGTCGTACAAACTTCTTGGGAATCTTCCACCGAGGGGTACACTGCACCATTGTCCTCCCCAGCTCTAAAGCAGCAGCAAGAGAAAAAAAAAAAAATTAAAAAGTATTAATTGAAAATATACCGCAGAAAAATAATTAAAAAAAAAAAAATAGTAAAACCTAGTGGGACAAACACTGCAGGGAGATTGAGGGTATCGGAGTRGAGTTGAAAGGAGAATTATGAAGGTCTCTAATAATCTTTGTTGCAGAACTAAGGATAACAGAATAAAGAAATTTTAGTTTTCCCCAAGATTATTTACCCCAGAAAGTTGTCTTCCCACCTCCAAAAGGGGGCAATTTTTTTAAATTAAAGAAGTTTTTTGCCTCATCAGCCAATTGTATAGGCTTTGGTACTGAGAGAACCATTGTCAAACAGTGCTACTGGTCCCAGTTTGACTGCCCTCATGAATTGTAGAAAGGGCAAACTCCTTATTTTTAAAGGCAAATTTCAACTCTGTAATTTATCCCCCTCGGAAATCTCTGGGGATGTGTGCCTCTGGACATCCAGTTTTACAGGAAGATAACTGTTACCCTTTTAAGTTTCCAAAGGTAGAAGAAGTTCAGCCTCTTTTGTGGCAGAGTGATTCTATAAGGAATTTGGGAATTTAATGCTTGCTACACACAGCCTTCTAGGCCTGAGGGGAAACGTGTTGCCTTTCCTCATGTGTTCAGCCTGCCTGAGCCTGATCCTCCACTCTCTCTTCCCATGCAGTCAGCAGGGATGGAGAAGGCTCTGTATTTGGGCATAACGATGCCTTCACCATAGCCCATGACTGCGCTCAGCATTTCCTCACCTGTAATTGCAGGGATGCATGGGCGAAGAGCTGGGATAGGGACGGTCCACAAAGTGATCAATGATAATGCCCATGATAGGAGGGGTCCTCTCAAACTGCCTGCAATGCAACAAGCAAGTGCTGTTATTGATATTCCTTTCTCCTGCATCCCAACTCATGGTGCCCTTGCAGAAAGCCCTAGTACCTGTTAATGGGACCAGAGCCTCTTTACAAGTCAACTCTGCAACTCCAGCAAGCACCAGCAGTTCAGAGTCCTAGAGTCTGGCTCAAGGCTACCCAAATACTCCCCTTGCTGCAGCACTTAAGCATGACAGAGTATTCTCCATGAAGGAACATCTCAGCAGGACAGGATAAGAAGGGAAAGATTTAGAGACTCCTAATACGAGGGGTTTAGTAACACATTATGGTAAAACACTTTCTGGCATGATCATATTTTCTTACCTGGTTGACATGAAGGCAAGGTTGATTCTGTAGGCACAAGACAAAGTGATGGTGCCCACTGGAGTACCCACTGTCCCAACACGGACTGTCTGGAAGCCTATACAATTAAAGATAATTATCAGACTCAACAGTTATGCAGAACTTGATTATTTATATTCTGTACTATGCTATTCTGGGGTTATATCATCTTATTTTTGTTTGCATTATTCTTTGCAATCTGAACTCCAAACACATACACAGAACCTTTAACAAAAGAGCGGCACTAGGCTGCCTTGTTGTTAGGCCTTGTCTATAAGATTCCTGATGTGAATTTCCTATCCTAGCCTCACACCTTGCTCTGAGGTGCTTATCAGTCCCTAGTAGCTCTCCTTTACTGCTGCCCCTTATGAATATTCTTCCATCTTTATTTCTTTTCTGGATTGCTAGMGTCAAAAAGGCAGTCACCCTAGATCTTGTAGAGTACGTTACATCTGTCACCTTATGACTTGCCCCTTTGCAGAAAACATTCACATTTCAAAAGTATGTGTAAACATCAGGCTTAATTTTCCTTGCAGTTCTTAAGCTTGGTAACAAGTGTCCTTCAAGTATGGAAGAGAATTCTGTTCTGTTTGTGTGTATTGTCTRGCCATACCTTCTCCCAAGCCACTCAGCTGCACTTCTCCAAAATATATCCTGCAGGAAGAAGAACAAAAAAAAAATTATTAGGTCTAATGGGGCATAATGTTACATCTTCCCTATTTAATTTTGCAATAATGAAAGGGCTGGAGTCACAATTCATTTCTAGAAAAAACGTAAGTAGTAGCCAGAAAGATCTTCTCAAAAAGCAYTCATGATTTGCATTTGCTACTTGCATTCATTACAGCTCATCCTTTTCACCATGTTTACGGTTGCACTGTGCCTGTCTACAGCCCCTGCTACTTTAACTTCAAATGTGGAATTTTCTATTTTGCTTTACCTGTACAGTATTACATATTCATGGCCTTGTTTCCTTGAGAGTCTGTAGGCTGGAGTTACCCTGGTTATAGCAAGTAAAGATTTCAGCAGCAGAGACAGCCTGTTGTATACAGTGTATGAAACTTTGATTTCTTTGTCGCACCTGCAGAATACAGGAAAAAAAGTCAGTCTTCTGTTTAATTACGAATGATTTTTTTAATCATTCAATTGTTGAAACAAAAAAAAGTTCATAATTGAAAACATCTGTAGTTGACCACCCAGATAAGAGTTCTACTTCAGCCTAGTCACTTCCTGTAGAATTAATTGCTGAAACAGCCTTGTTTATAGAATTAAAACCACTTGTAGTTATTGAGTATATGTATATAACTCTTGTATGTGTGGAGGTCATCTAATTGCAATGGAAGAACGAAGAAAGAAGAAAGAATTACATTTCTGGTTTCCTCTCTTGACAGTGATATTAAATGACTGAGCAGTGCACAAAATAGAGGGAATTTTCCTCTGAAGGGTCACAGGCAGCATAGCTGTGGTGTGCTCATTCCACAACATTGCTTGAGCAAGTTTCCCCATTTCATCAACCAAAGTGCCTCCAAACGAACATAAACAACAACAAAAAAAAAGATTAGAGAAACGCACTTACTTCTCATTCATTTCTAGACACCAGATTTCCAGCTCCATGGAATCTCCCTGGATCACAGAAAAGATGGTGAACAAAGGCTCATTTCAGAACACTAATCTCTTCACACAGCAATAATGGCCAGCAACAGCCAAATCTTGTTCTTTCTCTCTCTCAAAAAAGACCGTTTTCTGGCTACCACTTTCTTGTCATCTTGACAGTAAACAAAGGTTCACTGGAGGCTTCACTGAAGAATTTGTTCACCCAAGGACAAACCTTTCTCAGAAGGGCTAAACTYTTCATGGGCTAAGCAGCTGTGTTTTGCTGCTGTCTCCCTTGTGTATTTGCACTATGCATTGCTAAAAAATATTTTTCATCAACATCCTAGCTAACTTCATGATTGCAGATGTTTTTATGTTATCTTGGGTTAAAATACAGAAGCTTTCGTAGGTGATTTTATGTGCAAGATAAAAAAAAATAGGAACTAGTTTTGATTTGGTTCTCACCTCTGAGGTTTTGAGAGAGATCTCCACACACATCGACCGTCCAACAGCAGGTAGCTGTCCTGCCAAGGCTTTCTTTGCTTCATGAGTAACCTCGGGTATGTCTTTGATTGCCAAATTGAACTGCAGAATGAATGAGATTTTTATTATTATTATTATTTCTTTGAACAAGGTTCAATGTAGACAGATTAATACACTAGTATATAGCATACTAGGTCAATGTCCATTAGAATATCCATTAGAATAATTATGAAACATAGAAATTCACTTAAACTTTTCACATTTGCAGACAGCATTTCATTGGCTGCTACATCAAATGTTTTTCATGAGCCTGCTGTACAAATTCATCTTCTTTTTTTCCACCCACTTGAATCACCTACGGAATATCTTTAGTCTCTTCAATCTTAATGGAGTCCTTCAGTCCGTTACTTACAGAATCCTGCAAATTTCTGACAAACAAAACCAAACAAGAACTCAAGACTGCACTCCCAGCAGATCTTGGGAGGGTGCTGTATTGGGCAGGTATGAGCTGCGGAGAGGTATCATTTACCTCTCCTCTAATTAGGCCTTAGAGAGCCCAGAGGGACATGTTCCACGTCAACAAGGAAAGAAAAGAACACCAGACAAACAGTCAACATAAAGGAATATGGTTGGTATGTAGTCTGCACAAGAACTGCGTGTGTGCTCAACGCTAAAAACCACAGTTAGAGAGCTGCTTCACAAGTGAGGACTTTACCCAGTCAGAGCCTGTTGGGGACGAGGAGGATCGGGTACAGATTTTCTCTCCAAGTCGGGCCTGGACAATTACTTGTACCGTCTGGAAGAGAAAGGAAAAGAGGCACAGTGATTTCCTGAGCTCAGCAGGGCCCTCTATTCCACATTGGGCTAGAGAGATTCCAGGTTAAAAGAAAAGAAAACAAAAAAGGATTGACCAAAAAGTAGAAGTGGAGTTTGATAAACTAATCTTCATATATAATCCTCTTGAATTATTATGTAAAATAGGTTAACATATTTCAGACAAAGTGATTTTAAGGTGATCTTTTTTTGTAATAATATGAAGGAACTAAATAAATTTCATGATCAGGAGATGCACTGTCTTCAGTAGTACTGAAACATGATTTATGTATATGACTATATATTACATATAGTAATGACTATATATTGGATATATATATCCAATGACTATATATTACATATAGTTATATATATACAGATGACACACAGTCAAGCGTGTCATCTGTTTGATGTCAGAGCATCTACTTGTCTCTAGTAAGGCCAAGTAGTAAAAATCTATGTGCTAAGTAAAACCAAACATTTTTTATATTGTTATACATTACAACTCAAAATAACAGATACTATTTCTTTYGGATTCAATAGAAAAATCTAGATGCATTGAAAATAAAGGTTTGAAACCAGCAGGAGATACTATCTAATTGCTGAGTGCAGTTAAATGTATTGATAGGAGCTCAGAGCTGCCAGAAGTATAACCAGCTTGTAAGTGGTGTGATAGCAAAATATTTTTTGGGGAAGGAAGATGTACTGAATGTAGAGAAAAGACATTTTTCTATTTCCTCTTAGGAATTTCCTTTCTAAATTTTTATTCAGCTTTTCATGTTTTGCAAGCAAAAACTTCTCTTACAATGCGCTATGTACCAGGAGTGAGACTTTTCCCTAAACACACAAAAGAAGGGAGATTTGCCCACCAAGAGGAAGAGTTACCTTGAGAGCAAAAAATTTGATGAACTTGTCCAGGTCCTTCCTGTCCTGGGAGCTGAGATCAGTGTCCATTGCATATGGCAATCTGAAATACAGTACACGCCTGCRAATGAAGTCTTCTTTCAGTTTTCTCTTTGGACTTTAAGATTTCAAAATATTTTGCCATTAGAGGTTAACTCAAGAGAAACAAAATGTCTAACAGGCTAAGAGCTCAGTGAGAGGTGTTAAACTCACACTAATAATGATATATCTTGCCAGTGCAAAAGGTACCCGAAGAAAATGAAAGGAAGCTCACAGGTAAAACTGGCTCTAAGTTCTCCAATTTTTCTAGCTTAATGAGAATTAAAAAAAAAAAGGGGGGGGGGGGGCAAAAAAAGTTACCTGAATACACTGGGTTAGATATCAAATTACGCATCAGAGACAGTCTCAGCTTCAAAAAGAATACCTCTTCAGTGATCAGTACTGGTCAAAACCAAATCAAATTCACTTCTTGGGTCTAAAATCCTAAAACCAGTATTCCAGTAGCATTCCAGCAGATACTGAAATCTATACAACAAACCATTGCTGGAATGACCTATTTTTGCTTATTTTTTTCAAAGAAATATGTATTTGCAGTAYACCTGTATTTGTGTCCTTCATTAGGCTCCAAATTTAACACAACCAACTGTAAAGACGCATTTTACCACAGCAGAGATGAAGATTCTACTTTTGCTTCTCTTGAAAGCTTTTGATGACGGATACTTAGCTCCTACAGTCACACTGGCTTGTTTTTCAAAGTACTATTTATGTTTTAGCAACACCATGAATTTGGTACACGAAGCCACAGTGTGTGCCAGGGTACTAATCAGTTCTCTGCCGCCAGCRCAGGGCATGTCCTTGGATACATGAGAATTTCTGTGTCTCATTTTCTCACTTGCACGTTAGCAATCACGGAGACCAGGGGGAGGACTGCCTTGACCAGCAGCACTAGTTGGGCTTTTTCCTCACGAGCCTTCCAAGCACGAGCTCGTTCCTAGCCGGCACTGCTGTTTTCGTTCTGAGAGCATCCTGAAGGCCTCAGGGCCCGCTGCTCCTGAGGCCAGGCAGTTCCACAGGAACTTAAGAAAACATTTCTTAACAGTGAGGGTGACAGAGCCCTGGAACTGGCTGCCCAGAGAGGCTGTGGAGGCTCCTTCTTTGGAGATGTTTAAAACTCGCTTGGATGCAGCCCTGGCCATGTGCTCTGGGTGACCCTGCGTGTGCCCCTGGTTGGAGGAGATGACCTCTGGAGGTCCCTTCCAACCTCTGTGGGTCTATGATTCTCTGACTGCACGTGTTGGGTAACCGCGCTCGCTCTGCAGCCCTGTGCAAAGCGGCAACAGGCAGCAGGCTGAGAAGGACCCAGCGCTCTCTTCATACAAATGAAAGCTTCAGAGGACAAGGGGGCCAATAATCCTGTTAGGAAACAGTATGATCTTTACTGACTACCTCCAGCACTTATATTTAAAATGTGCCACTGAATAGCAGTAAATACTTATTTTAAGTAATGCTTCAGGAGATACATCTAAGAGATGCTGTTACCATTCGAGTACTGCAATTTACAAAGCACTTTATAGAGAAGAGTGACCATTTCTGAATGACTCCATAAAAAAGGTTCATATGCCTAATCTTGTTAAAGATCCCAGGATATTCCTACAGCATCTCCAAGAGCAGCACAGTTCTCATTACGGATTTCACTTTAAATTGAAAGCTAATAAAGCAATTCAGCTTGAGATACATTACCAAATTGTCCTTTGGATAGTTTAACCTCATCACCAGAAGTATTATGCTTTCTTTCTCCCCTTTATATCTCAACTAGWGAGAGATTATAACAAGTTTTAACACAGAGAGATTGCAGAGGAAGTCAGCACTTAAGAGCACTAGATATTTGACTGATGCACTACTCATATAGAAAAAGTAAGCTTTTAGAACACAGGCTTCCCATTACTGCCAGAGCGTAACAAAAATAGGTCAGAAGGAATCATTATTCTTCTGCTTAGGCAAAGCATTGTAGAGGTTGAGAGGACTCAAGACATGCAACAAAACCATGCTGATATGGGCAATAAAATACAGCATTAAAAAAAAAAAGTGCAATTTATGCAGGAGAGTGCCTCTCACAAAGAGGGGGCTACCTAATTCCTTACTGAGTAACTACCATAAGGCAATAACCTTTGGTCTAGGTGAGAAACCCACAGATGACTGAGTTCCCCTCAACCAAGTAATCCTTTGGAAAAAGCAGATAACACACAAGCAGTTCACAAGTGAAAACATCTATCTTAGACACAAGGCTTCTTGCTTTGTCCCTCACTTCTTGCAACATCCATTTTCATACTATTTGCCTTAATTCATAKGAATTTGTCATTTTTTTTCCTCTAAATGGAAAAATCAGAGATSAATGTTCAAAGGTGAAACGTCACGTGCTGTTTCTCGGTTAAAGCCTTATTCTTTCTTAAAGCCTCTGAGGCAGAGATGAATACCAGGCCTACGCAATACCTTGGCATCTGAACAACGTGCTGTTAGTATTTGAATTCTCCTTCTCAGCGGGGAAGGGCTCATCAGCAACTCCACAAAGCTGATGGCAACTTGTCTGCATGATGCAAGAAGCTGCAAGAGCTCCCTCCCCTTCACACATTGGCACAGAGCACAGGCAGGAGGAGAAGCTGCTGCCACCAGCGAGCCAAGCTCCTGCCTGAGCAGCAGCAGCCCTGGAGCACACAGACACCTGTAGCCTGGCCACATGCACACAGTATCATTGGTGGGCACTTACAGAACATGTTATAGAACATGTCACCTACGGACGGACATAAAGCAGGTACAYGTGTTGGACACTCATAAATGGGAAAGGAGGGAAGCACCTGATGTGTACCTGCGTTATTACTGTGGCAGGGAAGGTGCACACAGGCCCCTTCCATTACCTCTCTCCTCTGAGATTTCACTTTGAGCGACGGCTGCTACAACAAAAATTCATTATGGCTTCCCTTAGAAGAGAGAATTATTAGTGCAATATAATTATTCAGGSTTTCTATCGAGGAGTGACAGTAAGAAGGCCATGGGAAAGAAATAAAAAGTGCTGTCATTGTTGAGAGGACTATAGAGACCTCTTTTTCCACTGGAAAAGCCTCCCAAACCGGATTCCCTGTTTTTACCATTCTTTCTAAACTCTTTCTAAATACACGAACCAAATCCACACTGGGTATGTCGTGCGTGAAGTTCCAAATAATCCTTGTTGAATCACTCCAGGAAACAAGCACATGAAAGTTTCTCAAGCTCTTAGCAGGGTGCCTCTGATAAACAGCCAGTGAAGCTTTCCTAGAACATCCCCATCAGTCACCAAGGACTTTCAGTGCAGAAAGGTATTTAGAGCCCATTAATAAGCAACTATAAAAAGATCTGCATGAAGACACTCATCTGTTCCAAGGCTAACCTGTAAGTTAAAGTGCAGTATCCTACAATTACTTAGTTTCCATTTCACCTTCTTAGTAGGTTAGTCAGAAACCTGGGGAGAGAGAAAGAGATGGGTGGGAGCTGCTCTAAAATTTAAGAYCTGCTACTTTTACTCTCTAAAGTTGATGATTAAAAAAAAAATAACAAAATAGATTCAAGAGGTAAAATGGTTCCACATTACATAAATATTCTGACCAAATCAAATGCTATCTAGTTCACCAAAGAGGTACTTTTCCTGCTGATCCAGAAAGATTTACTTCTTAACTCAGAAATTGCTTGCCAGCTTAGGAAATACCTTACTAAAGCCTGCACTGCCAGCTCTCCACTGGCTTGGAAAAAAAATTGAGCAATTCCTGTTGACCTGCAGTTACTTCTGTACTTCCCCCAAGGTCTAAAAATGGTATCAGTTCAAAAGTCCATTCTCTCATTTTGTTTGTCTGACCAAAGTAACAGAATCTGCTTCTACCGACTCCATGCTACGACCACTAATATAATCACTAAGTCTCACCTTCTGGAAAAATACATGTAAAGAATACTTGAGATTATGTAGATACCATTCAAACAAAATAAGTGATCCTGTAAGATCCCCTTGCTCATAAGAACAAAGATCACTGGCTGACCTGGAGACTTGCTTCTTCCTGTAAGAAGGAGGTTTCACCAGCTCTGGCCACTCCTGCAATAATCTGGTGATGCTCTAGACCACATTTGCGTGGTCAACTAGTTTTCATCTAAGGCAGCAATTTGCAATGTTTTTCCCACTCGCAGTGCACCTAGTCACACTGCTTTTGCACTTGGTAAGTAGCCTGTCCACAGACTCAGCTCAAAGCATCCCTTCTCCACCAGGATGCCAATACGGACAAGCTGCTGCTCCCGTTCAATCAACAGGAAGTTTTCTTGCTGAGGCCACAGCTCCAAAAGGGAGGAAGAATGTGATTTTTAGTGTATTTCTTTATCTYTCCTTTCTGTTTGCCAACAGAAAGCAAACTCAGGTGCCACAGGAGAGCTAAATACAACAAAACACGCGGTGTCGGGTTTTAAACGCTACTGACAGGCGCGGCGGTGTTTCCCGTTTAAAAGGCAGCATTCCGGGGGCAGCGCGAGCAGCCCGGCCTGCCGCGACCCCGGCCCTGCCGCGGATGCCGCCAGCCCTGGGCCGGGCCGCGCTCACACCGCCACGGAGGCGCCAGCGGCGGCTCCTCCACACAGCCCCGGTCTCCAGAGGCCCAGG